TGTAGTTGAAAAAAAGAGAAAAAATGTGTTCAAATTTTAAAGAGGGGCAAACAAGGACTTAGATTTTTTACCGGAATTGAAACTGAAAACAGTAAACCACGCATCTCCTTACTTTGTACAAAATCCCTGTTTGATGGAAATTAAAATATAAATTTGTATTGAAGCTAACAATTAATTTTAACTATACATTTTATAAGATTCACAACTTTTCAATTATACATTTCACTAATTTTTATTAAAATCAGCTAAAAATGTAATTTTAATTTCCATCAAATAGGGACAAAAATATTTTTTCAGAAAAAAATGCTATACAGCATTACCTGTGCTTAAAACATCGCTCCATGTGGCAGTAGCACACGATATGTCCAATTAAGGCTCGTTTGGTATGGTATGGTTTCGCTTATATCTCTAGTAAAAGATTTCTTGGTGTAAACTACTTTAATTTTTGTTTGAAAATTATTTTTTAAAATCTCTTCTAACCGTTGGAAACATTTTCATAAAATTTGTCTAAAGAAGTAAAAAACAACTTTTGAATCTCAAAGCTTGTTTGGGAGAAATTGTTGGGGGAATAATTATTTTGAATAGTGATATGATGGGAAATGTGTGGTTGAAAAAGAGAAAAAATTATTGATGTGATGGAATATATTATTTTATTAAAGAATGTGTGGTTGAAAATGAGAATTGATTTACTGTAGAAAAATCTAATCCCTCCCAAACAAGGCCTTAAAGTTTGACAGTTTTACTCTGCAACTTCAAATCATGTGAAAGTTGTTCGAAATTTTAAAGTGCATATTAAAAAATTTCAATCACGTCCTAAATTCACATATAATTAAAGTTGAAACCCAAAATCTCACAAATTAAAAGATAGAGAGCCCACCCTAAATAGAAATAGTGGGTTGTGGGACATTAATTCCTCTATTGATGGACGAGTTCTAATATGTAGATCACATATATTGCTATGGTCCACCCTTTGATACACATGCAAATTGCTTGTGGCAAACAATTAATCTCATATCATATCGTCCCCAATTTGTGCAAAAAGTATTTTTAAGAATTCACGTTTAATAAAATAAGTCGTTTAAAAATAATTAAACATGTCCAAAGTCCCTCATTATATATCTATGTTTAATTATTAGTAATAATAATCAGTTGATGAAAGAAATTTTATCCACTTTTTAATAATACATTTTATCAACTTTTATCAAAATTCAATAAAAAAAAATATATAATTTTAGCTAAACCAAAAATAAATTTAGAAATAATCCCAAAAATCAAGAAATTAATGACAAGTGAAAACTATCCAAATCTTTATATTTACAATATTAGCAAATAAATAATTGTGAAATAAAAATTAACATGAAAAAGATTTATTCACTTGTAAACTTGAATATATTGTGTAGAGGCATAGTGCGATTATATTGTGAGTCATACATAAGAATATGTAAATAATAAATATATAATAATTGTGAATCCGTATAAATAAAAGTATATTTAAAAATCTTATATTAGTGTTTGAGCTCCATTATTTTTTAAAAATGGAAATCAAAGGTGCCCTAAAAGTTAAACTTTACAGTTGAGTAAGAAATCTAATACCTTAAAATAAAGGGTAATTATATTACACTACAAATTTTAATTACTGCATCACATTATAATCACACCACAATTAAAATACATTTTTAATAAATACACAATGATAAATTTACAATTATACTCCTAATTCAATAAAAACAAAAAAAAAATGAAAAAACGTTTAGAATATTGTGGTGTACTTATCACCAATATTAATCCTCANGTGTACTTATCACCAATATTAATTCTCATTTTCTCTAAATCACGTGTACTAAACGTGGGTTCGAGTTTGGACTAGTAAACGACTCTCTGAACCCAACTAAGCACGGATTGAAGAGAGAATTGTTATCAAATGTACCAAGAAAAATGATAACTCATGTGTCAAAATCATGACTACAAAAAGACAACCTTCGAATAAAATTAAATAATCATGGTGATAAATTCTTAATTTTCAAACTTGACAAATAAATTGAAAAAATTCATCTATAAATCTTAGTCAAATAGAGAGTATAAATTAATTTACCATGAGGAAAAGAAAATTATCTTGCCGCCGTTGAAGAAGGTAAAAGCCGTCGGAAAACTATAAGCAATGCGATGTCGAGGAAAAAGAAAGAAAGAAATTAGGTTTTATATTTGTGGTGTAACTATAATTTATTTAATTAAAAAGTATATTTAAACCCTAATTATGTCATTTTACTTAAGGATATTTTAGTAAATAAGAAAATTGTGGTATACTTAATAAAATTTGTAGTGGTAATATAATTACCCTAAAATAAAATATATCAAATAAAAAATTAACATAAAGAAATTTCTCCACGTGCAAATTAGGGTTCGACCCTACCTAGTTGTACTATTTTTCAATGTCATCATCGATTATCTCATCCACCCCACCCCGCGAGTTATACGCTATTTCTACGCTAAATGAGACTTCCGTTTAGATTCAAGTTCAACGCGCTAACTGAGACTCCATTTCATTGTACAACAAAGAGCAGCTGGACAGTGGTCTGTGCACGAACATATAAATACACCAAATGAATCAGCCGACAAAAACAACTAATTGGGACCTTAATAAATCGAAAGATTGTCTGATTTTGATCCAAGAAAATGGTTAAGACAAAGGATTTATCATCTTCTTCACAAAACGAGAACAATGAGGTGAAGTATAAGGGTGTTAGGAAGCGTAAGTGGGGGAAATACGTATCAGAAATAAGGCTACCCAATAGCCGGGAAAGGATTTGGTTAGGGTCCTACCAAACGGCCGAGAAGGCGGCCAAGGCGTTCGACGTCGCCTTGTTCTGCCTCCGCGGCTGCCACGCTAAGTTTAATTTCCCACATGATCCACCCAACATTGCCGGCGGACAATCACTCACTCCGGCAGAAATACAAGTTGTTGCCCAACAGTATGCTAATAACAGTAGCAGCACTAATCACCAGCCACCAACAGGTACTTTTATTTGATACATGGCTTAAAGTATTAGAGAGACGACATATTTACATATTTAAATTTTATCTTTTGACGACAGAATTGGAGGATGAATCGCCATCATCAAACTCGGAGGGGGCCGGGACAATGGACTTGATCGACTGGTCATTCTTGGATATGTTAGACTCGAATGATCATGCTGGTAATGTTTCAGATTTTGGATTATTTCCCGAGCCTGGCGATATGTACGTTCCACCAAATTTTGCCTACCCCGACGATAATGATGATGATCATGGCAATGAAGATATTGGGGGACACTTTTCATCTTTTCTTTGGAACTTCTAAGATTAAGACATATAAGTAATAAGATTAATAAAGCATGTTTGGCTTAGCTTAAAAGCCAGCATTTTAAGCTGCTTCTTTGCAGAAGAAGCAATGCCAAGCATGCTCTTTAGTTTGCTAATTAGGGGTTGGGAAAGTAGTAGCTGGCCCCGATGATTTTTTACATCTTTCCGGTTATACTTTCAGTATTTTTTTTTTTGCCGGGAAGTTACTTCGATCGTCGGGGGATGGATTGCTAAGTTTTTTCTAGGACGTATTTAATATGTAGTAGTAATGTTCTGTGTTATCCGATCTAGTTAAGGAACACGTGTTATATTATGTACTGCTATATATACTTTTAATAAATGATCCTCGTTAGAATTTGTCAGTGTATTGTCCGGGTCATTTATCAGAAATTGACTGTTCATTGTGTTTCCACCAGAAAAAAGTTCCCAAAATGATACGACAGGTTTGGACTACAAGATAATATAATTTTACTTTGACATATATAGTTGACAATTCGGGGCGGACACAAAGGTCGTCACGGGGTCATGTCACTCCCAACTTTGGGACTTTTTTTTTTATGTTTTTGTCTCGATTTTCAAAATTATTATAGGATATAAACAAAGTTAAAATATTACATTTTTAATACAATTTTAAAATGTTCACGGCCTAATTTTCTACATCGTTAAAATATTGCATTTTTATTAGTTTTGCTATACAAATTTATTAATATAATTTACATCATTTTATTAGGAAATTTTACATGGGATATGATATCTAAAATTTTGAATTTTTATATCCAAAAAAGTCATACTCTACGTAAATTTTCGGATGTAAAATTACAAGGGGGTATGAATTTTTTTGAATGTAAAATTTCTTATAAGTTTTTTACAAATTTGATTGTGCCCCCCAACTCCAAATGTCTGCCACCGCCTTTGATTGACATGAAATTGGTGAAAAGAAATTTGGTGACTATGGGGAAACGTTATATGAAATTAAGTGGTCATGGTGAGACAATATATGAAATTGGATGACCATAATGAAATAAAATCAAATTTGGTGACCATAGTGAAACAAAATCAAATTGGATGACATTTGTGACACTAAATATAAAGTTTGGTGGCTATTGGTGGATTTAACCCTTTGAAAAACTCATTGTATCAAAATCAAAGCTCCAAATTATAATTTTTATAAATAAGTAGACACGGAATTCAAATACAATATTAAGAGTATGTTTAGTGACTTCTTGAAAAGTGTGTGATTAAAAAGTAGGAAAAATTTTAGATTTACATGCAAAATTATTTTTATTGAAAAAATGTATTGTTAAAAATGAGTTAAGTATTTAGATAATTGGGGTCGAACAGGAACTAAATATCAATTCATGTAAAAATTTAAACTATATAAGATTGTATAAATAAACGTGCTCGAGAGTAATATAAACTCATCTATACGTCTGAGATCAAATTTTGTTGCCTAAGGGTTCGACAACGGAGTTTTCATAAAGACAATTTTCATCATAATTTTGGACATAAAAAAAAAAAAAAGAAAGAGGTTTCTTCGGAGGAGGAAGCTAGGTTTAGACAAGCCCTACCAAAACACGTCATTTTCGCCCCCAATAATAACTTGAATTGTGTATTCTAACAAAAGCAATACTCATAATTCACGTGTTAATTGACTTTTAACTTTAAACTTAAAAAATAAAAATCTGGCTGGCTATAGGGTGTTTCTATTGACTTCAATTCGCAATTCACATTACACGAAATATTGTCAGGAAATGGTCCTAAGGGTGAGATGACAGACTGTGGTTTACAGCGTTAAAATTATTTTTTTTTCTAATCGTCAATCACGGTTTGTCAAGTGTGAACCTAATAAAATGTCGGGTAAAATTTCTTGCTGTTGCAGCATGATTGTTATTGTATTTAAACAAGTTTTGAAAGTCCCGAGACAAAAAATAGGAATCGGAACCCAGTCAAACCTCAAAAAAATTGTTACTCATATAAATAATCATAAATTAAACATGCCGCGTGGCAAATAGACAAAATTACACCGGCATAGTTATGTGGGTACGCGTAGGTATGTGGGCGATCCAATTCGACCCATGCTGAGGCCCAATCCATCTAAAAGATGTCTCATCCGACCCCCTTTTTTGAAGAGCTCCCCGGTACGAACTCATTCCCGGAGAGGGGGCTAGTCAACCTCAACGAACCCCGTGAAGTGATTGACAAGACAGTACACTGTAGGGCTATCCGTGGGTAGGTTCGGTTAGGTTCTGAAGAGACCCGAACCGACCCAAAACTTTCCGGTATTTAATAAATGAACTCGTCGGATCCAAATATAATTATGGAACCGTTCGGGTTCGGTTCCATTCGGGTCGGTTCCATTCCTTTCGGTTCCATACCATAATTAAATTTTTTAATATTTACAGTAACACTACATAAATACAACTAATGACATTTCATTCGTAACTTTTACAAATTAACGTAGCCCAATTCAAAAACATATAAATAACTAGCCGTCCAATAAGATTAATTCAATATATACAAATACCAAAAAGTAGATATTAATATTACAACAATACTACATAAAGTATATTCATTTGTTTCAAGTTAAAATGGGTTAATGGGTTTTAAAAATGATCTGGGCTTTAAAATTAAAATTATGAAATAATCTGATTTATTTAATTAATTTGCTAATTTGTTTAGAAAAAA